GGCGCCGCGGAGAAACCCGGACCCGGCTCCCTGTGGCCTCCGCCCCCTGGAAGGCCGCGGCCGCCCTCGGAAACCCGCCAAACCCTCGTAGCTCTTCCCCGAGCGCTTTTCCCATTTCTCTTTGTTTTAGAGAGACACATTCAAGAAGGGGTTATGCTTGCAAGCCAGGCAGCTGTCAGCACCTGGGCTAGAAACCTTGTGACACAGGTGGCTGTGTCCTGCACAGGTTTGCAGCACACTTATAGGCTCAGTGTCTGAGACTTAAAAACTTCAAGTCGTCTTCCCCAGGATGGGGTTATAGGAATTGTGGTCTCTCTGCAAGGTGCCACAAAGCTGTTTGCCCCGGGAACCATCTGCAAGCAAAGGGAAGCAATGGCATCACTTGTCTCCATTACTTTCCCTGATAAAACCACCCAGCTTTTACCCATCCTGGGAATGGCTAAATCAATTCATCTCTTTCTTGGGTGTTGAACTGATACTGCTGAGCTGTTCTGTACCTTTTTAATAGTCTTCCCTGTCAACTAAGTAGGAGTTTGTTACTAGATGCCAACAGATTTTAGTTGCTTATCTTTTGTGGATGAGAGCAGCAGATCTTATTGGCTTAGAAAAAGAGAATTATTCTCTTTATTTTAAACAGACACGATGTGATTGGTCACAACGAGGATGGAAATGAGCTGCAGACCACTCCAGAGTTCAGAGCTCATGTTGCCAAGAAGCTGGGAGCAATGCTAGACAGGTATTGGCATGCGATATTAAAAGGCTTATTCTGGGGGTAAAGTAGCACTGATGCTTGTGCATTCTGAAAATGGGAAATTGAAGATTTGAGTGCCATGTGGATCTGAAGGAAAAATTGCTGTCCCCTTCATTACTGTTCCTGGTGCAGGGGACACTTCCACGCTGCTGTAAACTGAGCCAGCCCCGTGCTGTGCTGCTCTGGTGCAGACCTCCCTTTTGCCTCTGTGGTGAGTGTGTTGTGGGGAGGAAAAAGCAGAATTTAAGTGCCTTGGCACTTTCACTCCTTAAGAGCTGACATGAGAGTCTTTTATTCTTGCAAACTACAGCATTTACCTGATGCAGGGTCATGCTGGCAGCATGCCCTGTTTAGAAGCCGCACCTGCCTGTGGGCTGCTCTCACCTTTATTGGGCATATATGGCTTTGAGAACTAAATTCCTGGTGTTTGGAGTTGCCTTTTTGGTACTCTCTTTTTGCCAAGTCTTTCTTGTGGCACGTGTTGGTAGTGGGTGAAGGCATTGTCTACTCTGAAATGAAACAACTTCAGTAGGAAAAAGTAAGAAACTCAGTAGCATCTTCCCTCAGTCTTGTTTCTTAGAAGTGTCCAGCTTTGGTTTGGCTGCACAAACCTGTCTGACTGTGATTTTCTGCTTAGTTCTATCACTGTCCTGAAGGAATCGTCAGGACCCTCACAAATTTCTGTGCAAGAGCTCGACTCTGGAGATGATGGTGAGTCCTAGTCACGTGCTCTGGCTTGCTTTAGACACTGCTAGTGAATAAAAAATTAATTGGTGTTGATGGTGTCTGGTGGCTGTTTTGCAACTAGTTAGAGAGCATTTGCAGTAGAAGAATGTGCCTTAATACCATTAAAGGCTAGCATGATTATGATCTCTGCACCAGAACTGACTTTTCAATGTTTTTTAGTCCCAAATAGTTGTTATTTAGCACATTATCAATAGGGAGATGAACAGCAGTGAAGCCTTCTGGAGCAATCGCTATTGATTGCTCTCATCTCTGTTATGTTTTAGCTAAAATTCCCTTTATGCCTTTTGTGTATTTTAGGCTTTCGTCTCTTCTCCTCCTCTGTCCCGGGAGACTGTGGGAGGCCGGAGCCCTGCCCAGCACGGAGGAGACGGCCCTCGAGCTCCAGGTGAGGCCCTGGCAACTGCTCTGCTCCTGGAATACTGCTCTGCAGCTCCTGGTTCAGAGGCAGCCAGGATACTCCCATGGGCCTAGAAAGCTGAAGAACTTGAGAAACACAATTTTATAATTTAATGTTAGCATTTTGTTTTGTTTTAATGCTGGGGAGCTAGAAACATCTACGGAAAATGTTCTCTGCCTTTGTGGTATGTGTAAGGATCACCCAGGCTTCAAATGCGTTACCTGTGATACGGAGCACATGGTGGAGCCCCCCTTGTGGGGGGTTCTGACCAGGTGTCAGTCGGGTGTTCATGTCAGGTTGCTCTGCTCTCTGTGTCTTGGATGAGTTCAAGGCAAATTGTAAAGCAATTTCCTTCCCTTTTTTCACCTCTCCAGTGACCTGGACAGTGATGAAGAATGGCAAAGGTACCAGGAGGCTGCTGTGTCGGCCACAGACATTCTGAAGCAAAGTGCTTTTCCTGTCCTATCCCAAGATTGCACTGAGGATCTGAATCACAGCTGTGTAGAGCTCAGCCAGAAGAAAAAGAAGAAAAAGAAAATGAAGGGAGAGAAAAAGATTCAAGACACAATAGATGTGGAAGAGAGTGACCATATCAAGAAAGATTTGCAGTATTTGTTTTTTACAAATGGACAAGATGAAAGGCAGAATAGAAATATCACAGAGACAGCAATGTTGCCAGAAGTAGTGAAGAAGAAAAAGAAGATGAAGAAAAAAGAATTAAAGTTTTGCTCTACAAATGGCAGAGGATTGTGATAGCTTCTTTTCAGTGTTCTTCATGTAACAAAGAACTTGCTGCAGATGAGGGAAAGTTAATTGCCAGAGCTTCTGTTCTAGAAGCTCAGTGGCCTGAGATTCTTATTAAATGGATTCCTTTGTTGCTGGTGTCCCTTGAGGAAGGGACCGTTGCTCTTCCCTTGCAGCGCTTGTAGGTGCTGCTGCTTACGCAGACCTAGTGTCAAAGGATTAAATACTGTGCACAGACTCGTGTGACAAAAGGGATTTAATCACAGCTGCCCCCTTCTGCTGCCTTCCTTCCCTCGCTCAAACCAAACCTGATGCCCTGGAGCAAGTGGGCTGAGTTTCATTCATGCAAGCAGGTGCTCAACTCCTTTTTCTCCTTGTCTCCCACTAGACTCCAGAGCACTCCAGCCTGGGGACAGCCTTTGTCGGAAGTGTCCTGGCAGATATCAGGGCCTACTTGCTTTTCCTATGATCATCGTAACAACCTGTTGTTGAAACCTGCCATGTTGTTAATCCCTCTATAATCTGCACCTCTCCAGGACCCCTGCATATAAAGCTAAACAAGGAGCACAGTGAGTTTACTGCAGGTTCTAATAAACAGCTAGTTCTGTCCAAGTTGTTTCCTTTGAGATTTAATTTCATTTACAGCATCTTCCATGGCCTTTGTTGTAACTAAATTCTGCTATGCTTGTCTTATTTAATGTAGTAGGTTTTGTACATCACTGACTCGGATACCCAGCCAGAGAGAAAGACTATTTAAGTTGACTTATTATTTGCATCATGATCTATGTTATAAAATTGCCTCAGGAAGGACTTAGGTTTCAAAGTCACTGTGTTTCAATTCTTATTCTGATGAGTTAGGTCTGCCTATGTGTTTAAATAACCAGGTTTTTGGTAGTTTTCAATGTGGTTCTTATTCCATTTATAGGCACCAAACCTTAAGCTTTAGTGTTCCAGGAAACAACCTGTTAGTTGATACACGTTGTTCTTCTGTTCTTAAGGTTGTTTGGTGTCAATAGCTCTGATTCCTTGCCCTGCTTTGGGAGAACTTGAAAGCCAGTTTAGATGAGGTAAAATATGAATTGTTTTTTCTTTGAGCATGGGAAAACCCCCGATGTTTTCTTTGCTGTTATAATCCTCATTGTTTTTCATTCAGGACAACACTGTTGGTATTGTCCTAGAAATGGACAAGCTGATCAGAAAACTGGCTTGTGAACTAACTGACCAACAAAAATGGCTTGGGGACAGCCAAAACTTCAGTATAGTGAATCTGGCACATAGGCTGTCCGGCTGCCTTAAACCTTGAATTTTACTTGCTCTTTAAAAAGCATAGATACCTAATGGTCTAAACATCATTTTTTGACTTGTTTTGATGATGATGATTTTTAGCCTGCCTGGGCAGTGTATGTATTAGCAAGTAATGCACGTAGGAGGTTAGGGCCCAATTCTGGAGTGAAACTGCACAAGGGCTCTAGTTACCGAGATTGGTCTCTGATGGCTGATGGTTTCTAGACGAAGCTCTTATCAGTATGAATTGTCTTTGACATCTGTAATTTTGAAATCTCTAGATATAATAATTTGAGCTTGCTATTAGGCCTTTTAAAATGTCCTTAACATTAATTTTAACTTCTTAAGTCTTGAGCATGTTCTAGTCTCCAGGATTTTTGTCCTTCTTGTTGGCAAGAGAATAGCTCAATTTCTATTTTAATGACAAAAGTATATTAATTGGGGCTGCTTTCATGTCCGGCTACTGACATAGTGGTGTGAAGGTTGAGAGTAAGTAAGGAAGAGAGGAATAATTAGAAGAGGAATTATGTAAGTAGATCCTTAGGGCAGAAAACCCTCACTTGGTGCAAATAAGGCTTTTAGACCCCAGGGAAATTATTTGCATGGTAGATTTTAGCCCCCCAGGAAACTAAGAATGAGCTGTGCTCTCTAAAATCCATCTGAATTGAGATCTTTATATAGGGCAAAGTAGGGAACTACAGATCTGTGTGGAGCATGGGCAAATCCTATGGGCATCCTGCAGTGTCAAGGAGCTGTGGGGAAGAGCCATCCCCTGTCTCCTTCCACGGGGCGATTGAGGTGAGAATCCACCTACTGAATGCAGAAAACTGGAACTGCCAGACTGCTTTTAAATTTTAATTTCTGCATTTAAAACAAAGCAGAGCTATATCAAAAACAACCAAGCCATTTCCACTAGGATAGCATGATTTTCAAAGCGGGTTATTTTGAACTGGCAAATTGAAAATGTTCGGGGTTTTGGCTTGGGGTTTTGCTGTTTTGTTTTAGGTTAAATCATGGGGCCGTAGCTTGCAGTCAGTGATCCCGTCCTGACAGGGTTGTGCCCAGCCATTCCTGAGTCTTTCTCGGGGGGTTTAGTTGCAAAGCCAGGAGTCGGGTTCTCTCTTGCCTCACAAGATCGCATCATTCCTCGAGGTTGCTCCCCGTGCTGTGTTAGGCAGAGGAGCTTTGGGCAGCTCAGCCTCAGCTTTGCTCTTCCCTGTGCAGTTTTCCTGCCTTTGGCAGGTTTGCAGAGGCCTGGCCTGACGGAGAGGCTGAGCAGAATGAAAATCTCACTCACACCCTGGTGTTTCTGCCGTGTTGCAGTCAAATTCCTATCTTGACGGGGCTCCTTCTTGAGCAGCCACAAGGATTTCTAGTCTTTCTAGGTGGCTGCTGGGGTCTGAGTTGGTTGGATTTGGGGAAGTGAGGGGTTGGCAGTGGCTTCTAGCAGTGCCAGCAATGTCTTTCTGTGACTCCTGACGTCTGGGCCCTCTTCTCCCACAGAGGCAGCCGAGCAAGGGGGTCCTGTGAGCGGCAGGGGCTGCCGAGCGCAGCTGCAGGAGGCAGCGGTGACGGTGGCGGCTATTTGGGGACGCTCCTGACAGCCTGGTGGCAGCAGTGCCCTGGAGCGCTTTGCCTTGGTTACTGGGAGGAAGATGCCATCTGCGTGGAGATGAAGGTCTCGATGACGTTGTGAGTGGATGGCAGGAGCTGGCTGTGGCTGCTGGTGGAGTCGGAGCTCTGGTAGAGCACGAGGCTGCTGGAGGAGGCTGCCGGAGGGGCACGTGCAGGCGTTAGGAGCGAATCCTGCCCGCCGCCCCCTCCTCCGGTGTGCACGCATGTGTATCCAGCAGGCCCCCAATCCCCCGGCCTCGGAGAAAAGTTCCTTCCTGTTTTATGTGCCCCTACATACTGAGGGTAGGTGCAAAGCCCAAAAACACTGTGGGACGTGAGCTCTAGGGAGCTGAGACCAGAGGAGCCTGGCTGGTGCTTCGTGTCCTCTCTTAGGGCTGGAATGATCCACCCTGGGTCTGTACATGAAGGAGTCTTGGGTTTTTCAGCTCAGGCTGCCTGCTGGTCTGGCAGTGTGTGGACCCTTTAAGGTTTTCTGCCCTATAAACTCTTAAGAGAGATCCCATTTTCACAATTGTGCCTCTGTCATCTGTATGGATGGCTCCCTGCTCTGGTATGCTTCAAGTCTTTCTATTTTTTCCTACATGCCAGCTTTCCAATCCCCCTGGCAGGAGGCTGGGACTGCTCAGCCCTGATTTTCGGAAGGACGCTGTAGAGCTGGCAGGAGGAGCCTGGGTTAAACACGTGGTTTAAAATAGCAGTGGCTGCTGCTCTTACCTGCAGGGCTCGAGGTGAGGCGAGGGCCAGGCTGCAGGTGCTGGATAGTCGCGTCCTGGTTCTGTAAATGTATCGTCGGTGCCTGCGACACCGGTGTGTGCATCCCCGACTCCGTGTGGGATTCCGAGTCAGACGTGAACGCCTAGAGAAAAGAAAGTCGAGAGGGCTGGTTTCTGCATCCCTTCTTACAGGCACGAGACACAAGTGTAGGGATGAGCGAGTTGGTGCTGTTCCCAGGGAGATGAAGTCCTCCATGGTGATGGAGTGAAGAGCTTGCTCTGATGCCTCAGCGCTGCAGCTGGCACCAGCAAGGTGAAGACACAGGAGGGACGTCCACACGCCCCGAAAACTTGGCGCAGGCCAGGAACTCCCTGCAGCCTGATGCTGTTCGGAGGTGGGGAGCAAAGGCAGGTGCTCAAGGCTGTTACCTGCTTAGTTGGTGTCAGGTTAGTCAGGGCGCTGAGGTTTGCGGTGTCTGTTATCACCATGGTTTGTGGCAGGAGGCCGGTGTGTGTGTACTGGGCCACTTCAGACTTGGGGCCGTAGAGAGCTGTGCATGAAAGAGAACAAGGTCATGTGGATGCTGGAGCTTGGCATGGGAATAGCTGGGTTGAGTTGTTCCACTCGTGTGGCCCTGCTGTCTGTCCCCAGAACAGGGCAGGTGGAAGGTCTGCGAGGTGCATGAAAGAGATAAAGAACTTCATAATTAGGACAAAAATAACAAGGGGAAAGGGGAGTGCTGTAAGCCTGGGGACCCAGTGAATGCTCCGTAGCGGCGCTGGTTTGGGCTGAGCAAACGCCTTCCTGCTCTTACCGTGAGGGTTCTGTATCTGGGCCATGGTGGCCATGAAGGGGCTCTGGTTGATGTGGCTCTGCACCTGCTGCATGAGGGGCTGCTGGTAGGACGGGTGCAGCTGCTGGGAAAACTGGACGGGCTGCAGGGTGGTGAGGCTGCTCCCCATGCTGTTTATCACCGGCACACTCTGGGGCTGCGTCGAGGCCAGGCCTGAAACCCAAAGTGACAACGCTGAGACCTTTTTTCTTGGCCCTCTTTACCTTTTTGCAGGCAGGTCTTTAGCAGGGTGAGCTCAGATGCAGCTTTTCGGGAGCTTCTGTTGCGTTCTCTGTGAATGTGAAAATGAAGCAGGAGAGTATAAAACACACAGTGCAAACAGGGCCCATGGAAGCACCTGTCTGCCAGCGTGTTGCTGTGGGGCCTCCTGCGCCAGCCCAGACCCCTGCCCTGCAGCGTGCCCATAACCTGGAGCGAGGCTGCCACAGAGAACCTTGCACACAAGGAAAACTGCCTTTCCTTTCAGTGTACGATTCATCTTTTTATTCCTTTTTTGAATGAATTTGTTGGCAACAGAGAACTC